TGAACTTGTTGGATATTTAATAAATTAATAATTCTATAAATCAACTAGTGACAATAAGGTCTTATATCAATTAGTTAATAATTTAGAGATTACGATCCCATAATTCTTAAGTTGTGGGTTTGAGCTCCAATGTAATGGATTGTTTCTAAATTTTTCTTGATTCATGTACTGTGCCTTAATAATTGAATTTGTATTACCTTTATCAAAGGTTACAGAAAATGCTAGGTAATGGTGGACATTGAACCATTGTCTAGCGCCTAAGCAATACTGTGGCGCTCTCCAAGCACTATTAAGCATTTTAGATAGTTTTATTTTTCTGCAAAAAAAATGCCAAAATAGAATAGAAAATCCAAAAAAATTGAAGAAACACCTAACTCTATTGCCTAGGGCTAGGCAAGGCAGCAGGGCACTGCTTAACACTTAAGCGACGAGTAAGCACTGCCTAGACAAGCTTTTTGCAACACTGTCTTTATCTACTTAAAAGAAATAGTTTTATTAATCATAGTGATTTTAAGGGTGAATGTTTTATTCTATCAAAATTTGATAATCTTTGGTTATAGTTTTATTAATCATAATTATAGTAATTCTAAGGGTAAATGTATTATTCTAAAATTGATAACCCTTAATTTATATGATCAAAACAAGATAATTTGATGGTTTGTTTGGCTAACAATATAAGAGTTCAAGGACTGAGATTAATCCTTGGAGTAAGGAGAAAGCAGAACGAAGCATGTGAGTGGGACCGCGCGACCCTTTTTAAGAAACAAAGCGTGGTGTTAGGAGGAAAAAATGTGAAGACAGTCAAAATCTGGGAGTTGGGAGTTGCCAACGGATTTCACGGTAAAGAAGGATATTCCACAACTTATTCCTCTCCAAATCTGGTAGCTGACTTTTTGCGGTATTCTATTCAACCTTTTTGGTTAAACAGATTTTCGATTCTGAGTGCCGCTCATTGGAATAGAAAATTTTGCTTTCGGATTTTTTTAGGCATGTACTTACAATAAGAATGTTGAAAACATGTAATAAATTTACTTCAAAAAAAAAAAAAAAAAAGCTAATGTTATGAAATCATTTTAAATGAAGGTTAATTTTTATTTGGGTTTTATTAAGCTTGTGTCAGGTTAAAAATATTTTTAAAAATTAATTTGTATAGAAAAATATAAAACTTAATATTAATTTCAATATCATTATCACGTGAATAAATTTGATTTGACAATTAATGAATTAAAAATCAACTTTATTCTTCTAACACAAATTTATGA